GAGAACTAGCCACTCGATATAAAGAAACTCAGCACGCAAGCACGCGGTTTGTAAATCGAATGCGGCGTACCTACCAACGCATCAATGGTTCTGCCTACGTTCTCAGCAAGACTAGTCGTTTCGATGCTGGACCCGAGTGACCTCCCCCGTAGCTCACTAAAACTGCCTGACTCAAGTATTCATGAGCGTACGTGCAACAACACCAGACGTTTGAGTTTGATGGAGTACAGTCCATTGGCGCCTGTCGCTTCCGCACTTGCCGTTTCTTCTCTACATGCACGAGTTTTCTCATGGCCGTCGGCAACTTGCTTCGTAATTATATGGCGTCATGAACTCCGATCAACCACCTTCGATCCCCTTGACTTACAATCAACATTAGAATGTGATAGACTTACTTTGCTCATGCTCTGGTATCGTAACTTCGGTTTTCCCACGTGCCGTTTCCCTACAGTCAGTTGGTCATAAAGCAGCTGTCTCGATATCCGGATCGAATCCATAAGCGAATATGGCTGAGCCAAATTAGGTGCCTCAGCAATCTTATACAGTCCATTGCATACATGCCACTGCCTCGGAGTACCTCTGTGTCTGCAACTGGGTCACTCTGGCCCATGCGCATAATACGGCGCACGCACCGCTGATAGAAACGCTCCAGATATCTGACATCCTTCTGATAAGGCGTCCAGGTTTCGCTTCCGAACATAAGAACGGACATCACCATGGACTTGCCAAAAGTGAGCTGGTGGTTGTTCCAAACACGGCATTCCAGCTTGCCAAAAGCGGCAGCCGCCTTCTATACGGAGCTGCGCAGCAGGCAGGTCATCTGCAGGTCGGTTGTTATTTCGTTACAAAGGTAGCAAAATCTCCAAGTGGTTCCCAACAATTCCTTAACAATCTGGATTTCTAGCAGGCCCACGGACTAGGTTACAGTTGAAGGCTGCAAAAGACAAACAGTCTTGTCTTAATGGTGAGCGCAAATGTGGCCGCTGTCGAAACCAGAGCACTGGTCATATGCTGCAACTCATTCGCGCTAAGAGCAGGTAACTCACAGTTGTCAGCAAAAAGCAATGTACGGATGGTTTTCTTACAGACTAAGTTCTGGCACCGAAACGACCGATGTTCAATAACCCACTATCAATACGGTGCTCTCCAGGAACACCGGAAGAACAAGGCGTATCAAAAGCACAAGACATCATGGCATGAAGCTGTTTGTTAAACAGAGCAGGCGTTAAGACACAGGCTTGCATCACACCAGAGATAACTGCAAAGTCATGCGAGGTGTGTCCACTCAAATGCATCCTCCCCAGCATAATAGTGTGTGGTCATACAAATAAGGTTACAAACTTACTCTGGCAACCAAACTTACCCAACACCAGCGAAAATGCCTCGCGGTTCACCGTATCAAACGTTTTAGTGGAATCAAAAAGACAGCGAGTACAACGGCTGGTGTTGTGCTCTACATTTCTCTTGCAACCGACGGGCCGCAAACACCAAATCGATTGCTTTGCGACCCCAACAGAATCCACATTACTCTTCCGCCACGTTCGGTTCCACGACCTGACTGACGAGCCGATTGAGCAGGATGCGGAAAATCACCTAGGCCACACAACTCAGCGATTTGATGCCACAGTAATTCGTGCAACTATGCGTGCTGCCTTTGGCCCTGTACATTGGCAGCGCAATAGCATCCTTCAGCTCAGTAGGTAGCTCCTTCTCAATCCGCTTGCGTTGCATCAAGTGGTGCAGCACATTCACCAACGTCGGTCTGCCGCGCTTCAATATTTCAGGCAGAATCCAGTCGGCACCGGCACACCTGCCGTTTCGCAGCTGAACAAGAGCTCTCTGCGTTTCATCCACCGTCGGCGTGTCCGCCAGACTCATTTTCACTTCGTAATGCTTGAGACTGTAGGTCCATACGTCCTATGATAAAGACAACAAATTGCTAACCTGGTAAGTTTGGTATCGGATGGTGATAATTTTGTCCCCACCTAGCAAAAAGATATGAAGTAGAAAGACAAATTAGTACAGTCCCAGCGCCTTCATCCACTATTAATGTGTCATGATCTGGCGTTCCTGAGTAGATTCTCATCCAGAAAGTTCTGCAGAAACCGTCACACTATTTGTAGGGGGAATAAACTGGACAATGCAATAACGAGTGGCACCAAAGGTGTTCCGTATGCAAGAGCCCGAGCCACTGAACAGCATGTAAAAAGTGATGTCGTTATGGCAACGACAGATATCGATTTCATTCTGTGTGGGTGAGAAGATTCAAGAAGAACCTCATTCTAGTATATTGTTATCAGCCTAGATGAAGCTTCTGACTAATTTGTACTGCGGGCTAACTCCTTCTAATTGCACCTCTCACAGTTGAGGGCTTAAAAAAGATATTTTAATTATTGCTTTGTGCAGAGAAATACTACGGATGCAAGTTAGCAGCTTAACCAAACCTGTCATTATAATCCTTTTTAGAAGCAATTGCAAAATCTTTCAAACTTTTAGAAAGCTTGTGAATAATCTTTGTTCCTAGCAGCATGAAAGGTAATAATCTTAATACATTAGAAATCAATTTACCTCCTGTTATATTATATTCCGTATTTAGTTTCACATTTCAAATTTATGCTTTTGGTAGAACAAATGATTCGATCTAAAATCTTCTCTCGATGTTTGCACTGGACAAGTTCTAATGACCGTAAGATTGACAATGAATTAATGCAACCTGCTTGTCATCCTCATCTTCGTTACTTAGTGCCGCCACGGAGTATGCCACTTTCTTTATCCCTGGACAATTCTGAGCCGCGTCGCTGCGAGTTAGACGAGTAGCCTGCACGAAAAACCGACAACCGGTGCGAGGCAAGAATGATGAAACTTTTGCGCAATTTTACATGGTTCGGCATACAAGTGCCAGTCATTTATTTCCGCAGTCTCCACTACCTCCTATTTATGACCATGCTCGTCGATTAATAAAAATATGACGCTCTATGTGTTCTTAGCTTTTAAATCAATAATGTCACCAAAATCAGAGGAAAGGTTACCTTTTTGGTAGAGTTAAAGTTTTCTGAGAAGACAAAAGTTAAAGAGATTTGAAAAGAATACTTTGGCAAAACTGACAAGTTCCTGTATCGCCTAATAATCCATCATGTTAACTTGATTAATTACACATACATATTTACGTGGGGGTTTACTCTAGACTGCCAAAAGAGCGAATCGAACAAACAACAATTAGTGTATATCTGTTAAGAAGCATTGCTTTACAAACCCCGTTGGGTGGTCTGCTGGATTAGCGGATAACATTAATGAAAAAGCAGTTAGTAGTTTTGCTGTCAAAATAAGATCCTTTGTGATTCAGTAACTCTGCACTCCAGGCTTTTCGATAGCTCTAATATGGGAAAAAAGCAATTCCAAGGTATTTCTCGGGAATAGAATAGAGAGGAGCGTCAAGTAACATAATATATGTGGCGGAGTGTATCTTCCAATCGATTTTTAATTATGGATTACGTGAGTGATGAATCAACAGATTCGAGGTAAGCGTTCCATAGTTGACACACAGGAATAGAAATGAAGCTTCTACGACAGGCCGTACGGCTGTATTGTTTTGCTAATTTCAAGGAGTGTCCTCTGTTTTTTCTATTACTGCTGAGGAGAAGTAAAGAGGGGAACACATGAATTGGATTGTGTAAAATAAAATACTTCGTAATCAAATAGCCTTGTGGTGGGCTTAGGGCGCGCTGAATACTCCCAAACTTTTCATCCTATGCTCGTAGGGACGTTGGCACAATCAATTGAGGTATTTATAAGCCCGACGTTGAAGTTGGTCCAGTGCAGTAACGTCGTGCTTGAGCCATGGCTATTCGGCTTGCTTGCGTATTCTACATGGGGACGAACATGCGTATTCAGCATCTGTCTGCAGATAGTGATGTCTAGTTGTCCGAAGGCCCGTAGTAGTAAACCGACGTGCTGGTTAGCAGTTTTTGATGCCTTCGCGGATTGCTCGGAACAACCCAAGTTATCCTGAAAAATGACGTCAAGGTCTCGTTCGACAGATGACCGTTCCAGTGCTTGCTTTCCTAATTTGTAGGTATAGGTACTCTAGTGTCATATGGCGAGTACCTTGCACTTTGCCACGTTGAATTGTAACAGATTTCGGGTTGACCAAGCATGTATCATACCTTGGTTACACTGAAGTAACTTATAATCGGTATCTGCCTGAATCCGGTGCCATACCTTGATATCGTCAGCATACAGCAGGAAATTTGAAGAGGGATTACAACTGCTCGAATGAAATGGCCAGAACTAGGTACACAGAGAGACGTATTGTATGACAGCATGACGCAATAAATAGGTTGTGGACAACTATTAACATGATAATATTGGAGATGCTAACTGATGTTAATTAATACAACTCAAATGTCTGAATTTCATGACCCAACTTGTCGCTGATTCCACATCGATTCGCATTTTGATCTGTACTCGAGTTCGATCTCTAGTTGTAGATCGATCCGCTTCTACGCCACTGCTCTCGGCTTGATCGCTGGCTGTAAGCTTTCTCTCCGTAACACAGCACTAGGCAACCTGGATGCCAGTAACTATAGCCAAACCCGGAGACGGAAAGCACTGACAGTGGGAGGACAGTTGCTACGCCCATGAAATTTCGTTCGACATCAACATCCTCTATGATTCCAAACAAACAACACAGTAGTTTTACTAGATCAACCTTAACCCGCCAAAAGACGTGTGTCAATGTTTCTGTAGTTTGCGGCACTTAGAAATGCTCAGTGGCACTAATACGCAAAGAATGTGGAGGCTATGTAACTGTGATTATTGCAATACACCAGTTATAATTAAGCTACCAACAATCAACTTACTGAAACAAGCTCGGGATCTAGCAACATACCTTTTACCGTGCCGCAGTAAAATTGTTGGTATCATATGTCGTGGTTGTACTGCTGTAAACCCCCGAAAGGGCAAAGGCATGGTTATAAGAACGATTTTCTCTTTGTCCATGCACAGGTTAGGCCACCACCTCCCCGCCATCTTCCTAGTTATGCCATGGCAACAACACCAACATTTTCCGGCTTAAAGTCGTATACATGGCCTCTGTGTTCAAGGTTCGCAGGACAATCCCGAAATCTAGGAGCGTGTCTTTGATAAATCACGCCCCTTATGATTAATATTCGTTCCCTACAGTCAAAAGGTCACTCTCACCAACCGCTTGTATGTATTTTCAATCTGTTTATAAATGAGCCATGTAGTACGGATGACACTACATATAGACACATTTCCATTTATGCGTGAGCATTTGTTATGTGCAGTCAACAGTTATACACGTGAGGCTGGTGTGCGATCTACATAGAACACTCCTTTATGGCGACGCGTATTGAACATCCAACATCCAACATTGAACATCCAGCAACAGCTACTACTGGGTTGGGTATACAACCCTTCAAAGCAAAAGCAAGCTGAATTATCAAACTTGGTATAATGCTTTTAAATAGGCAACGGCATTACGATTTAAACACAAGGCAGTTGCTTGGGGTTTTAATATATATGCAGTAAATTTGGCCAGGCGTATTGCACCACCAACAAAATCTTATTTGCTCTATTCAGGAAGGTAGGTAACAAAAACTCGTAGGTCTGCCCATAGATAGGAACACCATTCTTGATCTAGATTTTACCTGTTGTGTACCGAATACTTATGTGAGTGTTCCCGATGAAATTTTCAAGAAGTGAATACCATGTGGTACAGTGAAACTTCGAGATATAGATGATGAGAAAAGATTATCCAACCTATCTCCGTGCGTTCCGTTCTTCAGATTGGGATTGGTTACGCCATACCGTGCGTCCAAAGGGTTTCTTTCGTTTGACTTATAAAGAACAGGCGCCAGACCTGTTTTACGGTGACCTGATCCACTGCATAGCAGCTTATACTACATTGCCAGATAAGCGCCTTTATAATA